GGAGTAGGGCGTTACAGCTTATGCATTTTTATGCCACATTATATATATATATATATATATATATGTAAACACGAAATATTCCTGAAACGAAAAAGACAAGAACACGTGTACAAAATAATATTTGTATTTGATGATTTTGGGTTACAATCTCTCTCAAATTTGATCCTCTGATTCGATCTCGGTAAGGTGTTGATTTGTGGATGTGCGATTGATCCAAATGGTCGTTGGGCTTAATCTAAGGATGAACGTTCTTCAACGACTGTGGGCTTGATCTTGAAGGTGGATTTGAGCGGATCTTCAAGGAGCCGTTGGGGCTTGATCTTGAAGAACAGTGATGAACGGATCTTCAAGGGCCTTTTGGGCTTGATCTTGAATAACGGTGATGAACGAATCTTCAAGGGGCTTTTGGGCTTGATCTTGAAGAACAGTGATGAACGGATCTTCAAGGGGCTTTTGGGCTTGGATCTTGAAGGACGGTTGGATGTGTGGATTTGTCGACGTTGTTGATCCAAAGGGTCGTTGGGGCTTGATCTTAGGACGAACGGATGATGAACGATGAACACTTTCTTCAAGGGCCGTCGGGGCTTGATCTTGAAGGTGGATGATTGTTGATCCAAGGGCCGTCGGGGCTTGATCTTGGAAGAATGATGAACGAAGAACGAAAAAGGCTTTCTTGATTCTTCGAGAACCCGGATGCTTGAGAGCTTCGGAGTTTCAGAGTTTCAGAGCTTCAAGGTTTTGGTGTAATATGAATTGGTCAAATGAAATGAATGAAATTGGCTTCTATTTATAGAATTTTCCAAGGCCTAATTTTGAATATAATATTCCAGATGAAATAAGTCGTTTCTGCCAGGTGTTGACACGTGTCCTGTTTGATGACTGTTTCGATGATTCTCGATTTTTTGTTTAGACACACGCTACGTATAAAATTTATGTAATACATGAGCGTTGAAACTTTGATTTATCGGTCAACATTTATTTACCGAAATTTCGATGTCTACAAATGCCTCCACTTCAAGACGCGTCGTATACATGTGCTTGTCATGTGTAGGGGATGTGTTTTGAAGTCCCTTCTTGTAGATGTCGATCCAAGGGCCATCAAGGCTTGATCTTGAATTGGGCTAGAGATTTTTTCAAGGGCCATTGAGGCTTGACCTTAAATTGGGCTGAAAAAGTCTTCAATGGCCGTCGAGGCTTGATCTTGAGGTTAAAATTGGACCACAAGGAGCTTCATGTGGTAGATGATCTTTGGTTTTGGTAGTGGATGAATCGACACATATTTTGTTGCGCTTGTTGACTTTCCACAGCTTTGATCTTGAACTGAGTTGGAGGATTTTCTGGATTCCTCCAATTGTTGACTTTCCACAAGCTTATTCTTGAACTAGGTTGGAGGATTTTCTGGTTTCCTCAAATTGTTGACTTTCCACAGCTTATTCTTGAACTGGATTTGATTCAAGGGTGGTAGACACTTGATCTTGAATCGGACTTGTGATTTCCTCAAGGGCCGTTGAGGCTTGATCTTGAATTTGGCTGGAAGCTTCTTCAAGGGCCGTTGAGGCTTGATTCTTGAAGGTTGACTTGAACACATGGCAAGCAGGCACGAGGTGAGGTGACGACTTGTTGGTTTGTTCAATCCTTCTAATTCACACATGAACAGTTTGGTCAACGGTATGATCTTCAAGATTGATGGGCTCTTCTTCCAGTCGGTGACTTGATCTTTAAGGATTTGATTCAAGGGTGGTGAATTGGCACGTGCAGCTCATAATGCCTAGAAAGTCTACCTAAGAATTTGAGGGTCAAAATGAGTCCACTACCCAGAGTGATTGCAACCCTGATGATATGAGATACTTTTGATTTTGAAGAAGTAGCAGATGAATCGGCACGTGCTTTGTTGTGCTTGTCTCCACATGCTTCAATGTATCATTTTCCCTTGCCTTATCTGTTCTTCGGGCAGATGTGGTATCTTGTCTGGAAGCATAAGATGTTGAGATAATGGGTACTTCGAGAGTAGTGCTAGGTAAGCAATCAGGGAAGGGTTCCAAGCAGTCGGTTCCTGACTGGGAGTTTGACACCAAGTGCTGGCTGATTGCTTTTTTCCTCCTTGTTCCGTCAATATGTTGTTGAAGCTTCTTGAGCTCTTGGATTCAACTCATATTCCTTCTGCTGGGTTGGTCGATTGTGCAGGGAAGGGGAGACTTGATTTTGAAAGAAATCAGCACGTTGTCTCCACATGCTTCAATGTATCATTTTCACTTGCTTTATCTGTTCTCCAGGCAAATGTGGCATCTCCTCGAGTTCCTCAACTCAGACTCCTTCTGCTGAGTTGTCTGTGCAGGCTGCATTCTTCTCTGCTTGTTTCTTCTGCACGTTGTCTCCACATGCTGCAAGGTATCATTTTCACTCGCCTTATTTGTTCTTCAAGCAGATATGGCAACTTCTTTGGAAGTACAGCAGCAGTGGAAGACGAGTACTGAGGGCGATACCATGTAAGCAACCAGGCCAAGGTTCCAGGTAGTCAATTCCTTACCTGGGTTTGAGTGGAGGTTCCGGCATATTGCTTTCTTTATCATTGTCTTTACAGGTAAGAACAAGGACAATGGAAATGACATGGAGAAAGCATGATATGAGATGCTCTTGCTTTCTACCCTGGTGATATGAGATACTTTTTCTTTAGTGTCATTTATTTGTAGAGGTACCCCAAGGAATAAGGAACACTGAGTGACTCGAGAGGCTTCGCTGGGAAGGCATTCTCAGAGATGAAGAAAGGTTCTGTAAGTCTGCCTTGCTATGGAAGGTGAAGGTAGACAGTTATAGGAAGTTCTTTAATACCTGTAGAGGTACTATTCTTTCACTTGTGTCGGCAACCATTGAGTGATTGATCAGTATGGCTTCACGTGCTTTCTTCTTTATCAGAAATCTTCGACAAATTGTCCGTAATTTCCTCTAAGCTGAGTGTGCATGTGACAGGTGTTGACAAGGCTGAAAAAGCCTGGCGCCTCTTCGATATCTGGGATCGGCGCTTCGACAAATTGCCCGTGATTTTCGCAAAGCTGAGTTTGCATGTGACGGGTGCTGACGTGTCTGGAAAAGTAAGATGCCTCTCCGATTTCTGAGCTTGCCTCTTCGATTTTTGAATTGACCTCTTCGAATTCTGAGCTTGCCTCTTCGATCTCTGAAATCCCGTTGAGTTCTGATTTTTATAGAGGCACGCAGTTCGTTTCAAAGCACACTTGAATTTTCGCTTGTAGAAACTCCATTCTTGCACTTCTAAGATCTTGATTCATCCAACCTCTTCTTTCTTCAACACCTTTGAAAATGTATGGACCCTCCGACCGTCGTTTTGATTTGAACCTTGGTGAAGAGGCAGTCCTGCCTTCTCCAGACAACATATGGCGCCCATCCTTCATATCCCCTACTGGTCCTCTTACCGTTGGGGATTCGATGATGAAGAATGATATGACCGCTGCGGTGGTGGCCAGGAACCTTGTCACTCCTAAAGATAATAGACTACTTTCCAAACGGTCTGATGAGTTGGCTGTTAAGGAGTCTTTGGCTCTCAGTGTTCAGTATACAGGTTCTGTGTCTAATATGGCCCAACGCCTATTTGCTCGAACCCGTCAAGTTGAATCATTGGCGGCTGAAGTGATGAGTCTCAAACAGGAGATTAGAGGGCTCAAGCATGAGAATAAACAATTGCACAGACTTGCACATAACTATGCTACAAACATGAAGAGGAAGATTGACCAGATGCAGGAATCTGATGGTCAGATTTTACTTGATCATCAAAGGTTTGTGGGTTTGTTCCAAAAATAGTTGCCTTCGTCTTCTGGGGCTGTACCGTGTAATGAAGCTCCAAATGACCAACCTCCGGCTCCTCTTCTTCCTGGAGTTCTGCCGAGTGATGAGGCGCCACCTAATCATCCTTGAAGATCCCCTCCAGTAAATTTGATTTGACTTTTTTTTTTTTTAAGGTATGTATAATGCAAATTTATGTAAAATTTCCAGAAAAAATAAATAAAATGGACTTTATTTCTTTTAATGCATTTGTTTTTTTTTCTTCTTTTTTTTTTGCTGTATACATACATATATTATGTACACACACACACACACACACACACACACACACACACACACACACACACACACATATATATATATTATTATTATTATTATTTTTTTTTTTCTTTCACGTGGACTGATCCACCATTCCAAAAGCCTTTCCCCTTTTATTTGCATGGTGCTAGCCACCAAGAATCCACTTTCTCCCTTTTTTTTTATACTATTTTTTTTTCTTTTCTGGTTGCTTTCAGTGCCAATGCACCCCCCGGTTTTTTTTCACGTGGTGCCAGCACCACTCTGCTCCACTATCCCATTTATTATTATTATTATTTTTTGTATAAATTTTGATGATGGGTGAGGAATTTGCAGGGAATGATGAAGACGGACGGAGAGCTGCAATCGAGGCTTCTTGACCGGCTAGTCGTTTGACGGCGGTTATTGAAGTTCTTCGCTATTGCTGTTTGCCACGGACGGAGAGCTACAGTTGAGGCTTCATGACCGGCTAGTCGTTTGATGGCGGTCTTTGAAGTTGTTGGCAGCTGTGAGGCAAGAGACGGAGGAGGTCTTTGGGTGTGTATTGACAAACTTTGGTTTTGTCAATCTCATTCAAAGGCGGCAACCATGGTGGAGGTATAGAGGAAGAAGCTCCACCACTACCATCACTGAGCACAACCATTGAGCACAGCCATTGCACTGCCTGTTGCACTGCCGTTGCTGAGGAAGGGATCACTAGCTGCTGCTGCCAAGTCGTCGACACCTTTATTTTTTATTTTATTTTATTTTTTATTTTTTTGCAATCTTTCGTCAAAGTCTACCACGCCCGCAACGTCTTCACTAGCCAGAGTGATGAGTTTGAAGTGGAGGAGTTGCAGCGGAGGTGCGGCATTGGGCGATGAGCAGAGAAGATGAGAGAATAGTGAGAAATAGACTTCTTCAGAAGATCATATCTCTTCCATGTGTTCATCATAATAGAATATCCTGCCCATGAATCCGATGACCGTTCCAGAGCTGCAGTGTGACTCGTCCATTCCATACAATCCGAAACTCAACTGGCGAGCACGATGAGCATGAATCTGATGCAACAGCACAATAGAAGCTTGACCCTCATTGATTCAACGGTTGATATGATAGTGTTTGACACCTTTCTTCCAGCATCTGAATTATTTGGGGTTGAGTGCCCCGACATAATTAGTGGGGAATTTTGCTTTCTCTGTAATGGGTTTGGGATCCTTCAATTCTTTATTGCCAAAATTTCAAAAGGAATCATCCTCCATGCCGCTGCTGTTCGGACTAAGGGGGCCACAATTCTTTATTGCTGAAAATGGGAGCCACCCTCCACATTGCGGCCGACAGAAGCATGATTCTGAAGGTGTGCAGCATAGTGTAGTGGGTATGACTCCTTTTAAATATATGAATATATATATATATATATATTGGTGCTCTGCAAGGTGAAGCCAGAAGCTTGAGGCTGAGGAGAAGGTTGTCTGTGCCCTTGATGACAGTTCTGGCGCATGGGTCAACGGAGGTGGAGTTCTAGGTGGTGAGCTTGTTGGATGTGTCCGACGTCGCTTTGAATGATAGGAAAGGTTTGACATCTGGATTCGAAGAGACGTGGAGAGCAGCGAAGAAGAAACTCGTAAGGAGAAGAGTGGGCACGACGACCGTCGTTGCCATTGTCTCTCTGCAAGTGAGAGCAAAAAGAGTGAGTGAGGGAGTTGCAGACTGTTGGAAATGTGCCCTAAAACCAATCATATGATGATACTTTACGGAAATTTCACATGTTAAACTAATCTAGTTTAATATCAAGGGCAAAGATTATTGTTTGAGCCGTCTCATATAAATGTTATACGCTTAAACGATAAGTCCAAGGAATATGTGATTGGGAGAATGCGATCTAAAGAAGATAGATTCATGAGACCATTCTTTCGTAGACACATCCTAAACGTTTCTGATCATAGGATTGCCAATTGGGCATTGACAGTCTGTTAAGATCAGTACGTGTTGTGTCTTCTCTCAGGGAGAGTGACTAGTCTCGAGTCATTGGTGTGTGTGACATCAAGACAAGCATGTAGGTGCTCAATAATGAATGAGTCCACTGAACACGATCAACGAGGAGTTCTCATACTCATGTCACATGAGAACTCATGGTTGGGATAATGCAAAGTAGTCCTTTGACCTGAGGCATCATAGTTGTCTTGTGGTTAAGTCCTTGATCTTTGATTATGTCAAAGTCACTCCATCAGGAGGGTGTCCACGGCATGGTCGGGGTTAAGCCACTTAGCCATGGAGGCAAGTGAATGCACAACAAGGGATCTCTAACCTTCAAACCGTTTGGGGGAGAATGCTTTATGATATGATTAAGAATCTCTGGCCAGAGTATGAATGAGATTTAGGAAGTCGTTCCAAATCACATTCAAGGTAATCATATAAGCACACGAATCACATTGGATAGTAGACATGAATAAACTATCAAACCAAACAATGTGGTCAAGAGTATTGTATTAGAGAAAGACCGTATTGCATTTGTAATCCTAAACTGAATAGGTTCTCCACCTCTTCTGATTAGCTTGGGTAACCATGATATGCTGCTAGGTGTCACTCATGGTTTGTGGAAGCCCTAAACGTGTATAATCACTAAAGGGAGAATTGAAAGTAAGTTTCAATTCACAATCGATTTGAAATGGTTTTAATCGCCCACTGCCTCGCTAAAAGGAACCTAATGGATCGTACACCGTGTAAGGTGGAGATTGAAGAAACAATGGAGATGAGTAAGAATAATTAAATGGTTTAATTATTTATGGCAAGGATTAATTAATATGTTAATTAATCAAACGAATAAGTTCGTTAAAGACCTCGGGATAGTTTTGGACCTTAAGGCCCAATGGGCTTCGAACGTCAAGCCCATTGAATTAAGTTGTATGACAACTTAATGAATAATGATTCACAAAGGCCCAATTAGCCCAATAATACCCTAAGGCCGGCCATTTAGAGATGGAGTGAGTTTTGGACTTATTTACAAGTTAGCCACTCCAATGAATTAAGGTATAAATATGACTTTATAGCCAAAATTCATTTAGGGTTTTTTCTTTTGGGGAAGGGATAAGAACATAAGCTCTCCTTTCTCTCTAAAGTGGCCGGCATCCTTGGAGGGTTTAGCTAGCAATCCTACTACTCCAAGGTCACTCAATTCTTCTCCAATCTAACCTTGGTGAAGAGACTTAAAGGTTCTCAATTTTGGGAACTTGGAGAACCATTTCATCCATCCAAATCCATAGATCTAAGATGCAAGGAATGAAGGCCCTCTCTTTGGGTGATTAGCCTTTGCTTATGCAAAGAGGAATCTACAAAGGTATAATTTCTCAACTAACAAATGTTGTTTTAAGTTGAGTCAAGGTTCACCAATCTACTAGGCTTTGAATTTCATGGGTAATGTTTTGTTTTTGAGTGCGTACAAGCATGCTTCCGCCTTTTAATTGTTAATTGCATGCCATAGATGTTCTTCAAATGAACATGTTTTCACAAAATAATCCTTCACAGACGAGGAAAAGGTTGAGGTCCATCACGGTTTGCTTTGACGCACTGCCAATGCCGGCGTTGCTGAACATTATATCGAGGCGGCCGTAGATCTTGACTGTGGATTCTACCAAGATTTTAACCTGGTCCTCGTCGGTCATGTCGCAGTGGATGTAAATGGAGTGGTTAGGATTGATCGATGCGACTACATTTTGGCCTTTGTCGTCCTGAACATCGGTGATAACCATGACACGTGCACCATGCAAGCTAAATTTCCGTGTGGTTGCTTCACCGATGCCACTGGCTCCACCAGTGACGACTGCGACGTTTCCTTGAAGCTTTTGGATGGTTTGGCTGACTGAGATAGTGTCGACTGGGTCTGCCATTTTCTTTGGGCAAGGTTAAGCTGCTAACTCAGCTACTTCCTTTAAACCTAAACGGAGGTGATGACGACAGCAAGCCATGGGCAGGGTTGACGGCACCGGAGAGGAAGTGGCGGCGAAGAGGCTTAGACGGACTTTGATGGAGAAGCATGACTAGCTGGTGAAGCGCGGAGCTGTAGCTGTTATCGAGCTCGGACGACGAGGAGTTCTTCTTGCTTTTCACCGTCATGAGAACCTGCGAGAAGCCAAAGAGCAAGTTCGTTGCCTTGCCAGAAATGTGAGTGAAGCAGGACTCGCTGATTGAAGCGGAGGATGCGAATACACTGTCGCACAGAACCTCTTGTCATCGAAGAGCATGGAGATGCCGTAGCTGTCCGATTTTCCACGCCAGCGTGGGTAAGGAGGTTGACGACGAGGGCTGCCAGTGGCTTGAGGGGTGTACGCATGTGTTTGATGTGGAAGAGCAGACGAGGACGAAGCTGTCCTGGTAGACACAAGGGTTGCAGCGATGCAGTCGGAGAAGGTGTTGATTGACGGTTGGTGCTTGCAAATATCTCTATTGGTGGAGAAGAAGAGGATACAGAGCTGGTGTGGAGACGACGACGAGATTACGTCGATTGTGTTGGAAATATGCCCTGAAAGTCAATCTTTGGAAGAAACCTTTCAGGACAAATGAATCGATGTATGGATGACTCTTATACATCAAATGGCAAAGATACTAATTAGGACTATCTCAATAAACGATATATGTCCTTATTAATGAATCCATGGACAATGGATCGATTGAAGAAGTAATCTAATGATGTTAGACTACAGAGACCTTCTTCACATAACCACTATGTCCAAAAAGGTTCCTGGTCATTGGATTGTCAGAGGGACACTGACAATGCTTAGACCGGTACATACTGTGTCCGCTTCAAATGGAAGAATGGAAAGTCTCATCCCATTTGTGTAGTGACACTAAGACAAGTATGTAGGTGCTCATTAAGGGAATGAGTTCACTGAACACAATCGAACAAGAGTACTTGCATGGAGGTCTACTCACATGTCAAGCAAGTAACTCTAATGGTTGGAATAATGTAAGTAGTCCTTTGACCTGAGGCATCATCGTTGTCTTGTGGCTAAGTACTTAATCTTTGATTATGTCAAAATCACCCCATTCGCGGATGTCCACGGCATAATTGAGGTTAAGCCACTTAGTCATGAAGGCAAGTGAATGCGCAACAAGGAATCTGTAATCCTCGATTAGAGAGGAAGAATACTCTAAGATATGATTCGGGAATCTTCGGTCGAAGTATCGAGTGTAATAAAGGAAAGCGTTCCTATACGACTCAATAGAATCATATAAGAAGGAATAATCACATTAGGGGTTTGACATAATATATCCATACCCTAGTAATGTGATTGAGAGTATTGTTTTAGAGAAGGATCGAATTACATTGTAATTCCAACTGAATAGGTTCTCCGAACAACTTCTACATTAGCTTGGGTAGCTATGACATATGGTTAGATGTCACTCATAGCTTGTGAGTTCTTCTAGATGATTAAATGTAGTCATCAAAGAAGAAAGGTGAATTAAAAGGAAGTTTTAATTCACTAAGTGATTGGATTAAATATAATCAATTGGATTGATGTCAATCACCTCACTGCCTTGCTAATTAGAACCTAAAATGATTGTACACCGATACACTCTTGTAGTGAGTAATTAATGGATGATGGAAATAATTAATTGGATTAATTAAGTGTTGTGATTAATTTAGAAAGTCTAAAGAAATCATAAAGGCGATAAAAGATCGTTTTGGGCTTAAAGAAACGTTCGGGTTTAATTGGGCCCATTGGGCCTAAACCCATTGGGCTTTTATTCAAGCATTGGATGACTAGAAATAAATAAAAGCCCAAAGCCCAAACCAACACAAAGGGGCCGGCCCTTTAAAGTGGAGAGGGAGAGATATTTGGTCAAGTAGTTGACTAGGTTTCTTTTTGTCTATATAAGGAACTTTATAGAGTTTAATCCTTAGGGTTTTTGTGTGTTTTAAAACAACAAAGAGGCAAAAGAAACATCTCTCTAAAAACCACAAAAGGCCGGCCACCTTGAGGGTGTTTTAGCTAACAATCTTTCACCCTTTTGGTTATTCCTCCATCCATCTTACTACACTAGTGGGTGTGGATATTTAGAGGTCTTCTCCTTTCGAGACTAAAGGAGAACCTTGGAGCACTCTCACTAACAAAGTGAAGGAGGCAAGGAGGGAGGCTAGGCTCAAGGACTTCAAGGAGCAAAGGACTTGGAGGTGGTCCATCCTTGGTCTAAAATCAAGATCAAGAGGTATAGATCTATACCTTCACTTTATTCTTAACTTAAATGTTTTAGATGCATTATATATAAACCTATGAACCTTGAAGGGGATTTGCATGACTATAGCTTTGATATTATTTGATAAATTGCTTCCGTTGCTCATGTATATAAATTTTGAATTGTATATGCATGCTAGTCATTTAGAAATCCCATGTGTTAAACTCATATTTTTCCCTTTAGATTGACGGTTGGTGCTTGCAAATATCTCCATTGGTGGAGAAGAAGAGGATGCAGAGCTGGTGTGGAGACGATGACGAGATTTACGTTGCCTCGTGTGGATGATGCTGATGGCTAAGCGGACCCAGAAAAAGATTTGAATCTCTCAGAGTTCCAAGTTGAGCTTATCCAGCTTACACCCCAGCTCAATGGCGATCACGTCCTTAGCATTTACCCTAATACTGGCGAGACCATGACAGTGCATGAAGCAAACATTTATGCGGAAGTTCATGCATGAAGGTTCACGAAGACGGTGATTGGGGTCTCTGCCGAAGCTGCATATGAACTTCACTTCGTAGGAGGAGGAGAAGAATAGTGGGAGTAGAAGTTGGTGGCGTCGGGAGTACTAGAGCTTCGGGGATCCATGGAGGAAGAGCATCGGTGGGCTTGCTCCTATTGAATAGAAGTTGGCGGCGATTTCTATGCAAGTCACATCTTTACAAACCTCATCGACGTCGATTATGGAAGAGTCGAACTGGATGTCACAAAGACGGCGGAGCTCAGCGGTTCGTCGGATGACGTGCTTGGAGTCGTCGAGGTCGAGCTTCGAATCTCTCTGCACACCCATTCTCAAAAGCTTCCTCTGGTATGGCGGCGATGGGCCTAGTGTAGGTCTTGATGCAAGCTTGGGCCTGGTGTTGCTTTGGAGAGATCTGGGTTTGGGCTTCTTCTCATATGAAGAGCCAAATTGGGCTTGTGGCTTGAGCCTTTTGTTGTGGCTGGGCCGAGACACTCATACATATACATTATTTCTTTTTCTTTTCTTTTGTTGTTGTTGTTTTTTTTTTTTTTTTTTTGTTGTTTTTTTTTTTTTTTTTTGTTTTTTTTGTAAATACATAATAACATATGTATTCATTTATTTTTTATTTTTGGTATGACTGTACTCGAAGTTGAACGTTCGAGTTGCCTATGTACCCTTCCAAAGAAAGAGATCAAGTCAAAACGTAGTTCAAATGAACGATGAATTTAACAATGATTTTGATGATGATTTTGAAGAACGGTTGAGCGGATCTTCAAGGGCTTTTGGGCTTGATCTTGAAGAACAGTTGTTTGTTGATCCAAGGGCCGTCGGGGCTTGATCTTGGATGAACGATTACCTCAAGGATTTGATGAAGAACGAAGAGTGCTTTCTCCATTCTTCGGAATTCTTGGGAATATGAGGGTTGGATACTTGAGAGCTTTAGAGTTTCAAAGCTTCAAGAATTTTAGATGTGTGGGGAGTATTCTCTTCCATTTTGGGAGTAGAGAAATGTATTTGTGAATTCCTTGATGCCATTAATTTTGGAAGTGTGCCTAAATTTATTGAACGGAGAAAGAGATGAGAGGTAAAGATGGTCCCACTGGGCGTGCCAAATTTGTAAACACGAAATATTCCTAAAACGAAAGAGACAAGAACACGTGTACAAAATAATATTTGTATTTGATGATTTTGGGTTACAATCTCTCTCAAATTTAATCCTCTGATTCGATCTCCGTAAGGTGTTGATTTGTGGATGTGCGATTGATCCAAAGGGCTGTTGGGCTTGATCTAAGGAAGAACGTTCTTCAAGGACTGTGGGCTTGATCTTGAAGGTGGATTTAAGCGGATCTTCAAGGAGCCGTTGGGGCTTGATCTTGAGGATGAGCGTTTCTTCAAGGGCCGTTGAGGCTTGATCTTGAATAACGGTGATGAACGGATCTTCAAGGGGCTTTTGGGCTTGATCTTGAAGAACGGTGATGAACGGATCTTCAAGGGGCTTTTGGGCTTGATCTTGAAGAACAGTGATGAATGGATCTTCAAGGAGCTTTTGGGCTTGGATCTTGAAGGACGGTTGGATGTGTGGATTTGTCGACGTTGTTGATCCAAATGGCCGTTGGGGCTTGATCTTAGAATGAACGGATGATGAACGATGAACACTTTCTTCAAGGGCCGTCGAGGCTTGATCTTGAATTGGTGGAAGTTCTTCAAATGGGCCGTCGGGGCTTGATCTTGAAGGTGGATGATTGTTGATCCAAGGGTCGTCGGGGCTTGATCTTGGAAGAACGATGAACGAAGAACGAAGAAGGCTTTGTTGATTCTTCGAGAACCTGGATGCTTGAGAGCTTTGGAGTTTCAGAGTTTCAGAGCTTCAAGGTTTTGGTGTAATATGAATTGGTCAAATGAAATGAATGAAATTGGCTTCTATTTATAGAATTTTCCAAGGCCTAATTTTGAATATAATATTCCAGATGAAATAAGTCGTTTCTGCCAGGTGTTGACACGTGTCCTGTTTGATGACTTTTCCGATGATTCTCGATTTTTTGTTTAGACACACGCTACGTGTAAAATTTATGTAATACATGAGTGTTGAAACTTTGATTTATCGGTCAACATTTATTTACCAAAATTTCGATGTCTACAATATATATATATATATATATATATAATTGGAAACGTTATAACGTGGTTGAGTAT